GAAGGAAGGAAGGAAGGAAGGAAGGAAGGAAGGAAGGAAGGAAGGAAAAAACTAGGATGGAGAGCAATTGAGGAAGACACCTTTGACCGTCACAGACACACACATACACACACAAACATGAACACTAGGACCCAGCAAGCCAGTGTCCACAGGCAGCTTCACCAGTAAGCACCTGTGTGGACTTGGGAACCTCACTTCCGCTCTCTGAACCTCAGTGGCTTCACCTGCACATGGGGTAAAACGGGATGACAGAGCTTTTGCCACCTGCTGGGCTCTCCATCTGGGAAAGGGTAAAAACTCAGTGTGTTTGAGCTATGCTTTTCAACAGAGTCAAAAAGAGACTGAGACCCATTATCTTTGTTCCTGCAGACCCCATTATCCAAGGACCAATGTATGTCACAGAGTAAGTGAATCAGGGCCTCTTGTGGAAAGGGTGACTGTGGGAGCCGTAGTTGTGTGAGGGTTTGGGGGGGAGGGGAGAGGCATGTGGGACTATGACAGAAGTTAGGAAGAGTCTCATATGATGTGGTAAGGACTCTTGCTGCTCCAAGGTTCCTCCCACAGGGATGCACTCTGCTGGTTGAGAAGGGGTGGGAAAAGGACCTCACGAAGCCAGAGCCATGCACCCAGCCTTCTCTGTGTCCCTCTCTGCTCCACAGAATGGCCTTTCTCTCTGACCCAGCTGATGGCAGCCTGTACATCTTGGGAACCCAGAAACAACAGGGGCTGATGGTCTGTTTTCCCACATGGCCTGGGATGGGTCGGGGCAGGAATCCATCAGCCAGAGCATATCGGAGTGGGGTGTCTCCTGAAGCTGTCAGTCAAGGCTCTGACCACTGTTCTGAAGTCTGTCTGAAAAGTGGGGTGTCTGGCTGTACCCACAGAGCAGAATATCAGACTCTGAGTATATCATAGGGCATCTTCAAGACTCCGGGGGCACTGAGGTGAAAACGGTACAGGTTAGCTTTTGCTAAAATAATACATCACCCACAAATTCAAAGAATTAGGCTGGGCCCATCTCAGTAGTGCTGTTAGTCTGAGTTTGCTCATGAATATGTAAGTCAGCTAGGTAGCTCTGGCTCTGATGTTTGGTGGTTTATATATGCTCATCTTACCCTGTGCTCCTTGTTAAAACTCCTAACAAACCTGAAAACGGGACACTCACTCACTCACTCACATAATACAAACTCCAGAGAGAGAATGAGCCGAAGGAGGGCAGAGGGCACACCCACACACTCACCACCAACACTGAGTCCAAACAGCGCCTCAACCTCGCTGAGGCTTTTGTGGCTACTGAGTTTTAAAGGCCGAGTGGGTGTGAGCATCTTATGGTGTGTCCGTGTGTTTATGTGCCTGTGTGTGTTCTATGTATGTGTATATGTGTGTGTGCGGGTATGCATGTCTGTGTTTATGTGGCATGTGTGTGTGTCTGAGTGTGTATATATCTCTGTGTGTCTTTGCATGTACACATGTCTGTGTCTGTATGTGTAGATGTATCTATTTGGAGGAGGTCATCAGGTGCAACCAAGTGAAGCTTGTGGAGTCTTGGTACCCAGTGTGGTTTTGTTTTTGTTTGTTTGTTTGTTTTTGCACTTCCTCAAGAGACTCTATCTGTAGCAAGTGACTGAGGGTGCTGGCTCTGAGGCTGGTCTACCGGAGTGCCATGAGCTGACTTACTTAGCCTCTGGAGCTCCATTTTTTCCTCTCCTGGGAAACAGAAAGCACAAGGTGCCCAGTGAAAAGGTCTCTCTAGGCTGACCTTGGGGAGTGTGGCACAGCAAGGGCTGTGCCTGTGTCTGCTCTTACCCCTTCTCCGACCTTCTTCCTCTCAGAAACTGCCATTCACCATCCCAGAGCTGGTCCATGCCTCTCCTTGTCGCAGCTCCGATGGGGTCTTCTACACAGGTGAATATCTCCGCAGCCTGCGGGGGCTAGACCCAGCCAGTGAGAATGGGGATCTAGGTTATGTCAGACCAACCTGGCCAGGAACAAATGGGCACATGCAGCCTTGCCTACGCCACCTTTGTGTTGGCCTGCTTTCCTCCTCCACAGGCCGGAAGCAGGATGCCTGGTTTGTAGTGGACCCTGAGTCAGGGGAGACCCAGATGACACTGACCACAGAGGGCCTTTCTACTCCTCAACTCTACATTGGCCGAACCCGTAAGTCAGATGTCCCCAGCGTTGACTCGGGCTAGCCAGTCAATCTGACAATCGTCAATAAACATTTTGCTGAGCACTGACCAAGGAGCGAGAGGTGTAGTGATAAGCTTGGTCATCAGGACTTCGATCCAAATGCTTGGCAAGCCTCCAGTTAGTGCTACAAGAGCGATGGTCTCTGGAGTCGGGTTGGGGAAGCACCGTATGACCATAACCTTGGTGACCTTCCTTGCGGCACACAGAGTACACCGTCTCCATGCACGACCCACGGACCCCAGCCCTGCGCTGGAACACTACCTACCGCCGCTACTCAGCGCCCCCCATGGACGGCTCGCCTGGGAAATGTGAGTGTCACCTTTCCTCAGCCTTACCTTGGGGCAAAGTCCCCAACCTGGGGAATCCCCGATTTGCCATCGGGACCAAGTACCAGCACACAGTGATCCGCCTCTATGCTGCCCCCCTCACGTGCTGAATGATAACAGCCTGACCTGACCTGAGATGACCCTGATGATCACACAGCCTGGGCAATACATCTGAACTTAGCCATACCCCCAAGTGACCCCTGCCAGCTAACCTTGGGTGACTCCTTGCTTCTTAAGGAACCCCCAAGCAACCTCCCCAAATACCCTGAGCGATCCCGTCAAGTCTTAACTGACCTCAACATGGTGAATGACTCCAGCATATAACCCTTGCAGCACCCTTCATGTGTACCCATCCTACCCAACTTTCTGAGGAGCCTCCCAGCTGCTCCTAACTGACCTTGACTTCATCTTTCTTCATGAGGCACTATGCTGGCAACACACGAGTGACACTACCGAGGCTCCTAAGTGACCCCTTCATATTCCAAGCGCTTCCCAAAGGACCCAATGGCCTCTGGGTCACACTACTTGATCCCCCAGTCTGACCATGTCCATGATTCATGACCTGCATCCTAAAAATCTCTCCCTCAAAGGACCTCTCATCTTAACTCTCTCGGATGACCCAGACTCACAGACACACATAAGTCAACTTTGGATGGCCCCAACCTATTCCTTCCTGTTTGGACAAAATTGGGTTGATCTTCCTATGTCCCAGTACTCTCCGAGTGGCCTCACATGACCTTTGCACATCTAAACATGCCCCACCCCAGCTGCTTTCTGGTGTGTTCCCTGAGACCTCTCTGACATCTACCCTGTCATTTATTTTATTTTATTTTTTTGGTAGATATGAGCCACCTGACATCCTGTGGGATGGGCCTGCTTCTCACTGTGGATCCAGGAAGTGGAACTGTGCTATGGACCCAGGACCTGGGAGTGCCTGTGATGGCCATCTACACATGGCATCAGGATGGCCTGCGCCAGCTGCCCCATCTCACGCTGGCTCGGGACACCCTACACTTCCTTGTCCTCCGCTGGGGCCACATCCGACTGCCCGTTTCCAGTTCCCAGGACACAGCAACCCAGTTCTCTTCCTCGGACACCCAGCTTTTGTGAGTGTCCACATACAGAGCCCAGGGAGGGCATTTCTGAAGGTGTTAACAGCCCCAGCTGAATAGCCAGTCATAATGCTCAGCTGTGACCCACCAATACAGTTACATCGGGTGTCAAGATAACATCCCTAGGGCTCCTGGATATTCAAGACTTAGCAAGTGACTGAGTAGAGTCTGTCCCGGGAGGGTCCTCTGGGTCCCACCCTCTCTTGGTCCAATCAAAGTGACTGTTAAATACTTTAGGTGTTAATACTGTTAAATACTAGCCTTCCTTAAGCTATTCTAAGACACAGACTGGAGAAGACAGGGGTTTCTTATTTGTTCCATTTGCTCCACAAAAGCTAACTGAGCACTTACTGAATGCTAAGCATACGCTAAGCTCTGAGAGTCCAAGAGCAAACAATAGAGTCAGTTTTCCTGCCCACAGGAAGCTCGGAGTCTAGTAAGAGGACAGACATATAAAAGGCAAGTATAACATGGTGAGATAAAGAATGAATTTAGAAAAAAGATGACACCGTGGACCTGGGTATGGTGGTGCGTACCTTTAATCCTAGCACTCAGGAGACAGTGGCAGTTAGAGCTCTGTAAGCTTGAAGCCAGCTAAAGCTGCCTGAGGATCTCTCTCTCTCTCTCTCTCTCTCTCTGCCTTGCCGTTTCCCTCACCCCCTGCCACACACACACACAAGCACGGGAGAGATGGCACAGAATTAAGAGCATTGACTGCCCCTCCAGAGGATCCAGGTTCAATTCCTTCCAAGCACTCATGTGGCTCACAACCATGTGTAACTCCACTTCCGGGTGATGTGATGCCCTCTTTCTGACCTCTGTGAGCACAATGCATGTGTGGACTATACAGACATACAAGCAGGCAAACACCCATACATGTAAAAATAAAATGCATTACATTGAAAAAAGATGATGCCACAGCAGAAAAGCTCAAGGGACTGAGTAGTAGGTGACAGACAGGAATTTGGGGGAGGGACAGGATCAGGATGGTTAGAGAGTTCAGCCAGTAAGCAAGCCTGTATAGCAGGCTTCTAAAAGGTCATAGCTGCCTTCATTTTTCATTTTTCAAATACTAAAAGAGGAAGAGAGAAAGAAGAAAAAGATGAAATGGGAGGTGATGAATTCCAGTGTAGAAAAGTGAGTTCCTTCCTTCCTTCCTTCCTTCCTTCCTTCCTTCCTTCCTTCCTTCCTTCCTTCCTTCCTTCCTTCCTTTCCTGTTGTTTGTTTGGTTGGTTGTGTGTGTGTGTGTGTGTGTGTGTGTGTGTGTGTGTGTGTTTGAGTGTGTTTGAGACAGGGTTTCTCTGGGCAACATCCCTGCTGTCCTGGAACTCACTTTGTAGACCAGGCTGGCCTCAGACTCACAGAGATCCACCTGCCTCTGCGTTTCTGGGATTAAAGGTGTGTGCCACCGAACCCAGTAAAAACTGAGTTCTTATAAGAGATTGTGGACAGGTGTGGTCATGGATGCCTCTGCTCCCAGTACTTAGGATGCTACTGGCAGAGCATCATGAATTCGAGGCTAGCCTGGGCTACATAGTAAGATCCCCCATCTTAAAAAAAAAAAACAAAACAGTGAGACATACATTGAGAAAATGTTGCTATAGATTTTGTATTAGTTAGTTTTGCTGCATAACAAACTACTCCTGCACTTGTAGCTGAAAAACAGCCCACACTTGCTATATTCGAGTTTCTTTGGGTCATCCAGGTAGTTTTCTGGTTTCTGAAATCAACCGGTGACTTGGTGGAGGCAATGATCCAGAATACTGTCACTCACCTGTCTAGTGGTTGGTGGGCCATTTGGCCTGGAAGGTGTCACCTAGAATATTTCATTTATATACCATAAGGGCCTTCATCCCTTGTGGGAGAGACGGCTTCCTCATGCTGTAGTCTCAGGGCTTCAAGAACAGTCCTGAAGGGCAACTCCCAGGACCCAAGAATCATTCAGATTTATGCTTGTGTTGGATTCGTTTCATTGGCTAAAACAAGTCACGTGGTCAATCCCAGAGTCAACACGGAAGGAAGTACAGAGGTCACGTGGGTAGAGTAATGCTGAAACTACCCACCGGTATCACTCATCCTTCTCTTTCCCCCCTCCCCTTTAGGATGACACTGTATGTGGGGAAAGAAGAAGCTGGTTTCTATGTCTCTAAAGCACTGGTCCATACTGGGGTGGCCCTCGTGGTGAGAAGGGGACCTGTGAGTGGGCTGCCAAGAGGGATAGAGCAGGATAGGGGTTTCTTTTCACATGTGGCTCTTTTGACATAGCCCCGTGGACTGACCCTGGCCCCCATGGATGGCCCCACAACAGAGGAGGTGACGCTTCAAGTCTCGGGAGAACGAGAGGGCTCCCCCAGTACTGCTGTGAGATACCCCTCAGGAAGCGTGGCCCTCCCCAGCCAGTGGCTCCTCATTGGTGAGGCCCCCTGATTTCAATTTGAAATAGACCAACAGAAAAGCCTTATTAGCCCGGTTTCAGAGTCGGTATACTGAGAGCGTCCTCAACACTCTGGCTCTTACCCCTACCCTTAGGATACCATGAGCCTCCCCCAGTCCTGCACACCACCATGCTGAGGGTTCATACCGCCCTGGGGAAAGCATCCGCCGAGACAAGAGCCCCACAGGGCCTCCATGCTCCAGCTCTCTTCTCCGAGGTCAGTGCTGGGGTGGCAGGGGCTATGGCTGGGCCCAGAAGAGGTGCGTACAGCCTCTGTACCTCTTCCCCAGGCAATCGCATAAAAGTTCCCAGAAAACGTTTTGTTGCTGCTACTACCAGGCATGTTTAAAATGTCAAAATGATATTGGCTTCCTAAATCACAAAACGTAGTCCCCAGATTTTTTTCCCCCTTACTCTTCACTGTAAACATTGTAAAATATTCATCAACTGAGAAATTAAAAACAGAAAAACTATAAAGGCATGTTCTCCCAGGAGAGACTGGGGAAGCTCTCGTAAGTAGTTCAAGGTTAGAAGGAGCAAAGATTTCCAAATCCCTGAGAGTTTGCTCCAGGCCCACCAAATTCTTAATCTCTGGAGATGAACCTCATAGTTTCAACAATACCCCCACAAGCACGTGAATTTTTAATACATTCACAGAGATGCCGTTCTTCACTTAGGTTTGGTAACCTCCTCTCCTAAGCGATATTTCAGAACTATAGACAACACCGTACAGGGAACCCTCCCTCCCTACAATTTCAGCTAAGCCCTGTCTGGAACCCAGTGATGAAGATTTAAGGGTTGCACATAGGTGGGAGTATCAAGAGTGAAAGCCACTTTGTTCTTAGCTCCTAAACCTGAGGAGGGAGGAACCTTGGGATCCAAAACTACATCCTGAAGAGAAAGCTTCAGACTCTTATCCAGGGCTGGGATCCCAAGACCTGTTAGCAGCTAGCTTCACTGCCATCCTTTTAGGAGCCTGGGTTCTCTACCTGATGAGGCAGGTAAGTCCAACATCCTGACCCTGTCTGTCTTAGAATCTTCCTAGACAGAACTCTGCTTTTCCCTTCCCCCACTTCAGCTGCCTCTGCCTTCCTCCCAGGAGCCCCTGCTCCTGTGCTCTGTAAGTCCAAGCTCTATTGTGAACCCAGCTCTGGCAAGGCGTGGGGCCCATCAGGAAGGCTCGAGCCCACTAAAACCCATGTGTTACAGCAGCAGCAGCAATGCCCTTCAGCACCTGCAGGCCCTCCTGACCCCTTGCAGGATTCTCAGACACAGCCCTCAATGGCCACCCCGCAGGACCAGAAGAGATTGCAAAGCCTCCCAGAACCATCTCCGACATCCCATGACCCTGAAGGTGAACTTGAATGAACAAAATTTGGGGAGTCAAAGGCAGAGAAAAGGGAAGGGTGCATATAGTTTAATTTCAAAGTCAAACTGTCAGAAACTGCATATGGTGGATATGCATATGGTGGTAGATAATAAGAGACAGTCTCTGCAAGTGTCTGCTATTATAATATTATTACTGTTTTCGGGGTCTCCAGCTGTAGATAGAACTGTGTGAAGATCAAACTGTGGTCAGCTAGCTTTTGAAGAGTTGCCTTTGAGTGTCTGTTTTCTCACTGGTCCAATGGAGATGCAAACACCTCACAGTGTCTCAGAGGTGGTCATCATCATTATTAGCAAGTCAGTGCTGGGGACATACCTTAGTTAAGAGTGTGTGCATAGCATGTGTGATGCCCTGGGTTTGAACCCCAGCACTCATAAACCAGGCATGGTGGTACAGTCCTATAATACCAGCACTCAGGAAATGGAGGGAGGAGGATCAAAAGTTCAAGGCCGGCCTGGGATATGTGTCCAAAAAAAAAATCATATCTAGGTGTATTGATAATTGTTTTAAAATAATGTTTTTTTAATAATGGTAGCAGTAAGTTACCTAAGTATGGTTTTGATTTTGTTTCAACATTCCTTTCAGTGTTTCTTGGTTTAATTTTTAGCATAAGCCCTCAAAGACCACTGGTGTCTACTCGGTGCTAAGGGGGTATGGCTTATGCAACTATTTCTCACCCTAGTCTCCTCTCTGTGGCCCTGAGCCTCGCTGGTGCCTTTTGTGTCTTTGTGATCTGGTGCTGGCACCTTCCCATTGCTGCTCAGCCTGCTTCCTCATGCCAAATTCCCACCTGCTATGTGCTTTACTCAAGCTGATGTCTGCTTCGCTCCTGGCTTGAGGCTCCAGTATTCACCCATGTCCTTCTCTTCCTTGGGCCTCAGCCCCTCCTCAGAGTCAGTTCTAGGAAAGCAAGCATGCCCTCTGAGCCACATCTTCAGTCCAGGGGCAGATTTCCTAAAGGACTCCATAGCAGGGTAACCCTAGCTCTGAGATGAAGTTCTTGTCATGTATTACTCCACCTAGTCCCAAGTAAATATACATTCCACTGTACCCCAAAACCCATTTCCTTGGACCTTCTGACTCTGGAGTGGAATCTTTTTGTCTCTCTGCAGTCAAGACTGTATTTTCCCAGAGCTGTTCTTGCTAATAGCCAGTACATTTTTTTTTTAAACAGAGAAATGTGTGTATGTTTATATGTGCAAACAAAAAGACAACCTCAGATGCTATTTCTCAGGAGCCATAGACCTTGGTTTTGGGGTTTTGTTGTTGTTAGTGGTAGGTTTGGTTTCTTGAGATAGGATCTCTCTGTGTCATCCTAGATGTCCTGGAACTATGCTGGCCTCGAAGTCACGGAAGTCTTCCTGCCCCTGCTTCTTGAGTGCTAAGATGAAAGGCATGCACCACTCTGCTTGGATAGACTTTGATTTTTTGAGACAGGGATCTGGGGTTCACTGATTCAGCTAGGCTGGCTGGCCAACGTGCCCCAGGGATCAGCCTCCTCAGTGCTGGGATTACAAGTATGGCTTACTATGCCCAGGTTTCCACATGGGTACTAGGCTCAAACTTAAGTTCCCATAGCAAGGCAGACGCTTTCTTGACTGAGCCATCTCCCCAGTCCCAACCTCACTCACACACCAAGACTTTTGAGGGCACTGTGCTGTACTTTAAGCTTGCACTGAAGCATTCAGCATCACACTTATTTGCTACAACTGTGCTCAATTTCATCATGCTCTGCCTACTTGAATTCATCTTTTTATTGAAACATTCTACTTCCATAAAAAGAACTGTTGTGTTAGAGGTAGAAGAATGCGGGGGGGGGGGGACAGCAGAAGGTGCTCAAAAGGAAGTCATAGAGCCAATATCACCCACTCCCTCTTCTGTGTGTCCACTTGATCCTCACACCGATAAAGGTGATATTGCTATCAGTCCTGAGTCCCCTGCCTAGCCACACCAATAGCAGCACCAGCCACTGGAGCCATGTGTCTGGCACCTGGATCCTGGCTTTAGCCACTACAGCACACTGAGCACAGAAGGGTTGAAGTCTGGAGAAAGGACAAGATGGAGGGTGGGTCTGGCCTACGGCAAAGACAGGTGGGGGAGGATGACTGTGGGCAGTGAGCAGAGGTCACTAAGAGGACACTGATATCTTCCTTCCTGGTAGCAGAGCAGCCCACTGTGGTGGGGAAGATTTCCTTCAACCCCAAGGATGTGCTGGGACGTGGGGCAGGCGGGACTTTTGTTTTCCGGTGAGTGGCAGGTGGAGCCCAGGCTGCAGCTGTATCCCTCACAGCTCTTTTGACAACAAACAAAGGACAGGCATTCTTCCAGACTCCCAGGGGGATAGGTCCCAACCCTTTTCCCTTTCGGCTCTCTCTGAGCCCTCCACCACTGGTCCACCATTCAGAGGGCAGTTTGAGGGACGGGCCGTAGCAGTGAAGAGGCTTCTCCGAGAGTGCTACAGCTTGGTTCGGCGAGAGGTGCAGCTGCTTCAAGAGTCTGACAGGCACCCCAATGTGCTCCGCTACTTCTGCACTGAGCGTGGTCCCCAGTTCCACTACATTGCCTTGGAGCTCTGCCAAGCCTCCTTGCAAGAGGTGAGATGGGAGCCCAGGGAGGTAGGGAGAAAGGCCTTGGGCTGAGCAGTGACATTTTTGCCCTTCCCTCATCTTAGTATGTGGAGAACCCAGACCTAGACCGCTGGGGCCTGGAGCCCACCATGGTGCTACAGCAGATGATGTCCGGCCTGGCCCACCTACACTCTTTACACATAGGTACTGTCTTGTTTTTAGTGCCCTGACCCCTGCTTTTCCCCATTGGCGATCACTCACTCTCTCCACTCCCTTGTAGTACACCGTGACCTGAAGCCGGGCAACATTCTCATGGCTGGGCCTGACAGCCAAGGCCAAGGCAGAGTGGTCATCTCTGACTTTGGCCTCTGCAAGAAGCTACCTGCTGGCCGTTGTAGCTTCAGTCTCCGTTCTGGCATTCCCGGCACAGAAGGCTGGATGGCTCCGGAGCTCCTGCAGCTGCCCGCAGTCAGCCCTGTGAGTCTGCCCGCCAGCCAGCTCCTCTCTGAAAGAGGCTCCAGGGGAGAATCTATCCCCTCCTTCCCCCAGGAGTCTCCATCAGGGTCTATTCTGGGAAGAGAGTAGCATCCTGTGAGGCCAGGGATGCTGCTAAATGTGCTATAGCATACACTCCCTGACAGTTAGCTGTCCTAAATCTGTCACCCAGGTTGAGAAACCATGATCAGAAAATGACTTTGACACAGGGTCTTACTACCTAGCCTAGGCCGGCCCTGAATTTTGAACTTTCCGGCTTCAAGCCTCCCAAGTGCCAGGATTACAAGCACCATGCCAGGCTTAGAAAATAAGGTTTAACCTTCACTATGCTTCACAATCACTGAGGGGCTCAAATACACAAAAACTGGGTACGGTGGCCTGCAATTGCGGCACTCAGGAAGCTGAGGCAGGAGGATCCTAAGTTCAAACTACATAGAAAAATAAATAAAAGATTCTGGCTCTCACCTGTTCTGATCTCATTAGCTACGTAGGACCCAGTATCAGTGTAGACCTGGGGTGAAGAAAAAGGGAAAGTGCATACTAATCTCATGGCAGTACAAAGTGCAAAGCAGCATCAGCCCCGGTGGAGTTTGGGAGCCTAGGACTCTAGGTCTGGATTCATGAGTAGGTGGAAGGGGAAGCGATAATGGACCAAAACATTGGGCAGAGCCATGCCCATTCCTAAAGATAAGAGAAGGTAGTGACCAGGGGGCAAGAGACCGAAGGGTCCAGAAACTTGATGTTAGGAGCCTTCCTCTACAGTATAGTTTTATATTAGCCATCAGTATTTTAACATTGGGGAAATCCCATACACACACACACACACACACACACACACACACACACACACACCCCTTAGATTATCAAATGCACTTGAAAAAACTTCAGCTTTGTCATCCGGGCAGTCTCCTGGTGATGATCAGTGACCAGGCCCATGCTAGGTGACCAGTTTTCGCTCTGACCCGAGTGTGGTCAGCCTTACTCAGTTCCGCTGTGACTCCCTACAGGAAGGAAAGCCAGGACCAGAAAGCTCACAGGGGCAAAGAAAAGTCCTGGTCTCAACAATCCCTGACCCTGGCTCCCTGCTGCTCTACAGGTGGAGGGGGATTTTAGCAAGGCCCACTTCCTCCTTCTCATGCCCGTCTCTCTGGCCCCCAGACCAGTGCTGTGGATATCTTCTCTGCAGGCTGCGTGTTTTATTACGTGCTTTCTGGAGGCAGCCACCCCTTTGGAGCAAGTCTCTACCGTCAGGCCAACATCCTCTCAGGGGATCCTTGTCTGGCTCAGCTGGAAGAAGAGACCCATGGTGAGAACCAGGGAGAGTCAGGCAGGACCAGCAAAGATGGGAGGGAGGAGGCATGAGATTGGGCACATTTAAGCCATCCCTTTTCTTTTGCCCTCCAGAGAATGTTGTGGCATTGGACTTGGTGAAAGCCATGCTGAGCCTGCTGCCCCAGGGTCGTCCCTCAGCAGGCTGGGTACTGGCCCACCCCCTCTTTTGGAGCAGAGCCAAGCAACTCCAGTTCTTCCAGGTTAGATGGAGATCTTGGGAAGGGACACACACACACACACACACACACACACACACACACACACACACCCCGCCAAATCTTCGAGTTTGGGTCCTGTCTTCGTCAACTGTTCTATTGCTGTGAGGAGACACCGTGACCAAGGCAACTTATAAAGGAAACATTTAATTGAGCACTTGCTTACGGTTTCAGAGGGTTAGTCCATTAGCATCTTGGTGTTTTGGAGGAAGGCAAGCATGGAAGTAGAGTAGTAGCTCAGAGCTCACATCTAATCCACAAGTTGTAGGCCAAGAAAGGAACATGGCCTGGTGTGGGCTTTTGAAACCTCAAAGCCCACCCCTAGAGACACACATCTTCCAATAAGGCCACACCTCCTAATCCTTCCCAAACAGTTCTACTAACTGGGGACCAAACATTCAAACATACACGCCTATGGAGGCCATTTTCATTCGGACCACTACAGGTCCTGAGGAAACGGAAAGCAGAGTGGCTAAGGGAAAAGAACCTTGTACCCTGGCATCTGTGCATTTGCTCTAGCTGCCCCTGTATGGAAATGCAGTCCATTCTCATCTGCTGTCATTCATGCTGTGACACCAATGTAGATACTCCTTCCATGTGTGACCTTGGGCAAGGGACCACATCTGAGCTACAGTCTGCCTACCCGTAGAACAGAGACAACAAAACTTCTTTCAAGGTGGTGGCACAGAGGTAGGGCATAGGGAAGCCTTACTTTCCAGGAGGCAATAAATAGCCCTTGCCATCCGCAGTCAAGAGGCTTTTGCTACTCCACCATCAGCCACACAACACAGTCCTGGCCCTTGGGCCTCCAACACTGGCCACAAGGCTCAGGAGCTCTGTGGGGTCCTAGGATGTCAGCGACTGGTTGGAGAAGGAGCCAGAGCAGGGGGCCCTTGTGATGGCACTGGAGGCTGGAAGCCACAAGGTGATCCGGGAAAACTGGCACAAGCACATCTCGGCACCATTGCAGGCAGGTAGAGGCTGCACTTGGGTGGGCTTGAGGGGCAGAGACCCAGTGGGGACTCCTCTGCAGCCCATCTCTCTGCCCACAGATCTGAAACGGTTCCGGTCATATAAAGGGACGTCCGTGCGAGACCTGCTGCGTGCCATGAGGAACAAGGTGTGTTCTGGAGCCTGGGTGGGGCACGATCAGAGATGGTCTGCCATAGCTGAACCTGGGTCCTTGTCCTGCTCATCCCCAGAAGCACCACTATAGGGAGCTCCCAACTGAGGTGCGCCAGGCACTAGGCCAACTCCCCGCTGGCTTCATCCAATACTTCACACACCGCTTCCCGAGGCTGTTGCTCCACACTCACCACGCCATGAGGACCTGCGCTTCTGAGAGCATCTTCCTGCCCTACTATCCACCAGCTTTGGATGCCAGGAGGTCCTGCCAGATGCCACAAAGGGCTGAGATCACCACAGGTCCCAAAGGCAGACCAAGAAGTTGAGCCTGTGGCTGAATCTGGCCTCAAGAGTGTCAGAAAAGGTGGGCAGCAGTTTAGCAGCCTGAGACTATTGGGGCAGAGGAATACTCTGGGGTCAGGGAACACTTAAGAAATATAGGACCAAGGAAAAAGAGATGTACATATATTTAATGTATATAAAGGCAAGGAAAGGGCAGTCTCAGATTCAATAGAAATATCTATACAGTTCATACAGTGGGCTGAGGGCAGGAGAAGAGGTTGTAAACCCACACCCAAACATGTACAAAAATAACTTACACAGCAACCCCTTCAAGCCAGGCACTGCTCCCTGCCCAGCCCCCAGGGCCAGGGGCACTGAACAGCAGCCCCAGGGGGCCAGCAGTGCAGGCCCAGAGCTAGCAGAGTGAAGGGGCACCAGTCCGAAGGACAGAGACCTAGGAGGAGGCCTTGAGGCGGTTGCAAGCGGAGCGTGAGCTCAGCAGCTTGTCTACCATAGTGCGGGCATAGCGGAGGCGGCTAGCCAGTTCTTTGCAGCAGCCGTATTCTTCCAGAAGGCTCAGTCGGTATGTTCGGAAGTCCCTCTTCTCATCGATGTAGGTCACGGCTGCCATCAGGGGACACAGGATAAGCTTGGTATGGTCCTAGGAGGGAAGGAGGGAGCAAGCTGGTGTCTGAGGTTAAGGTTAAGAGGGGAGGAAGGCACTGCAGCTGGTAAAGTACTTGGGTGCGGCCACCCAAGTACTGCCCCTGCCCTGCATACCTGGAAGAAATTAATCTGCACAGTGCCATTGCTGAGGTGCAGGATGATGGCGCTGCGTGTGCGGAACCACGTTCGCAGGTAGGGCAGCCGGGCCAGCTCGTCACCTTCCCGGGGCGTGATGTTGGCCCCTGCCTTCAGCAGGTGTTCGCTCATGTAGTTGCGGAAATACTTGAGGAGTGTGATCTACTTGGAAAGTTGGGGGAGGGATTTCGGAATGAGGGCCTGACGCTGAGGCGGGCTCCGTACGTACCACACTAGCCCTCGGCAGCCAGTACCCACCTTCTTCATTAAGGAGTTGGGGTGGGAGCTCACGGTGAGGTAGGACTCCGTGCCATCACGCTCTATGTACTGTAGGCTGTCACCGTCATTGTAGAGGATAAGGCGTGTTGAGTCATTAAAGAGCACCCCCACACTGTTGTCACACAGTTGATACCCTGGTGACAAGTGGAGGGCTATCTCAGAAGGGCAGGAGGAGGTGGGCAAAGGCTTTGAAATAGCTCAGTAGTACAGTGCTCGCCTACCATGCAGAAGGCCCTGAATTCAATTTTTGGGCACACACATACACGCACAAATCACTCACTCAAAGGATAGATACCATGGCCTCACCATCCCCCCGCCCACCCCACTTTCTGGGACACCTACCAAGGCCATACTTGTCCGAATAGTCTACCCACTTGCTGACCCAGAAGATAGGGATGCAAGCAGGATCCTCAGCCTCCTCTGAGACAGAAAAAGAGCACTGGTTAGGTCAGCCCCATAGCCCCATCCCGTCCTCTCATGCAGCCCTCCCCAGGGCAGAATACTGACCCCATGAAGCCTGAGGAGGGGCCTGACAGCACAATCCTAGACACCCAGACATCCAAATGGAGAATCACAGCCCAGGATGCCAAGTGGGCCCCCTTTACTCTAAGCCTACTGCCTCTCATGAGCAGTGGTAGGTGTGGACAGGAAAAGAAAACGCCAGGCTTCTCAAAGAGCCCACAGTCCAACCACAGGGATAAAAAAATGATCAAAATCTCTAGGCTGCTCTGTCCTTAGCACTGGGGCTGGTGGAAGACCTACTGCCCCAGATTAAAGTGATGAAGAAACATAGCTGACCATTCAACTACTGCAACGCTAGAACCAACTCAGTGTACACAGGTCCCTATTGTAAAGACAGGAATGTGCTGGGAAGAGATGTTACATTAGAGAATTAAGTCAGGTTTGGAAGAGCTGGCAGTGGGGGTCAAGGCAGTGACATTGGGCACAAAAGCCCTGAGGCTGGAGCTGATATGAACCTCTTGAGGAATTCATTCCCTGAGCGGAAGAGACCCAGACAGTGCCCTATGCAGAGCTGGCCGGCCTATTAGCCACCCACAAGATGAGATGGAGCAGAAGCAGGCAGAAGGCACACTAGGGAGGGGTGTGGGTGAAGGCTAACTCATCTGGACTTCGATCAATAGGAAATGGGCAAAGCAAAGGTCGAGTGGGCACTGGGCCTTGGCGCTCTGCTGGCTGAGACACCCTGCCTTCTCTGGACATGCACTCACCTTGCCGCACCAACCCTCGCTCTGAGGGCTTGGAGGCATTGACGCTGGTCAGCTGCTGCAGCATGTCACTCAGGTGGCACTCGATGGCCTCATTTGTCTCCCGAACCACTGGCTCTTCTTTTTCCCGGGGACGGTCAGGCAACGGGTTCTCCATGCCTGAGAAGGTGACATGGTCATTGGTCAGGGAAGACAGTGACATGGTCACTGGCCAGGCACAAAACTGGAGGAGCATGCGAATTTTACTGCCTGCCACAGCTAGCACTCTTCCCAGAGAACTCTTTTTAACTATCACCGCTTTGGGGAAACTGAGTCATTACCAGTTTGTGTGACAGGTATGTGGTGCTTACTGAGAGGCCACAAGCTTCAGGCGCTCAGGCCTCTGACCCGACAGCCTGGTTTTCCAGGACAGCAGCTGTTGCTGTCAGTGAAGGAGGCTGCCTGAAGGCACCAGCAACTCAGAGCCGCTCCCCTCCCATTCAAGCAAAGAGTGAAGGGCACCTGTGCTTCCAAGAAGGTGGAAGGATGGGTGGGTGGGGCACAATGTTTCTCAGGATAGATTCCTTTAAATAAAGCTTCAGCAGCTTCCTACTGGAACCCTTTGTTTTGTGTGCTTACAGATAGACCGAGCCTAGTGACACACACGGAAGCATTGAGTTGGCCTAGGACAGCTAGGGGTGCACTGGGCACTCTTGCTGTCACTTGAACAACTCATTTCCCCAAACTAGCATGTGACAGTTCTCCCGTGAAACAAGTCATTTTTCTTAAATTTTCAATTAAAAAAACCCAAACAAACCATCACACTACATTAAGAACTCAAGTGTGAAACAAAATATTTAAGATATGACTTTAAAACTAGCCAAAAGGGGGCTGGAGAGATGGCTCAGCAGTCAAGAGTCCATGCTTCTCATACCAAGACCTTGGTGTGGTTCCCAGAACACATATGATGGCTCACAACCATGTGTAACTCCAGTTCCAGGGGGATCTTCTGGCCTCTGTGGTCACCAGACATGATGTGGTGTATAGACATATATGCATGCAAAATACCCACACACAGTAAAAACACACACACACACACACACACAACAAAACCAGAGACAAAACAAAACAAAAAAGAAACCCTAGCAAAAATCACACCTGTCCAAACGTAACTATTGGGAGTGTGAGAATACCACAGGAACAATATCACGCAACTCTCTACCTTTGGGTGAGCTTAAAAAATGTCTCTAGAATTTTTTTAATGCTACTTTATTTAAGGGGAAAAAAAATAAAAAAAGCAGTATTTTAACCACCACCAAATAAGATTGAAATCCAGAAGGCTGGCACTACAGGAAAGGAGAACAGAAGAGGGGCTTGGGCTGTGGCTCTAACATGGAGCCCTGAGTTAGATTCTCAGCTCCTCACAAACTGGGCATGGTGGTCCATGCCTGCCGGTAATCCTAGCACTCTCCAGGCAGAGGCAGGAGGAGGAGACGCTCAAGGTCATCCCCGGCTACTCTGAGTTCCAAGCAGCCTGGGCCACATGAGACACTGTCTCAAAAATTGAAAAGGAAAAAGAAAAATTACAGCAATAATCACTACAACCAAGCGGGTGCTAAAATCAGTGGGCAACAGCTGGATGAAGCGGCATAATTTCAAACAGCTCCCTGCGAGATACTTATCAATTACAATGTCTGCAGCAGAGATAGCCTTGTCTCCCTGGCACACAGAGAAGAGCATTGCTCAGAATGCAGACCCTCTTTGCAATCATGAGGAAGCATCGAATCCAACAGGAATCAAACTCATGAGCACCATCCGAAAGTGTCAAGGTCACAAGACACAAGGAAAAACGCAGAGACCGTCACAGGCTGGAGGAGACTAAAAAGCCAAGTCACTAATGCCAAGTTGGGTACTGACTGGCATCCTGCTGCAGAACAAGAGCTGTGAACAGGGCATTTGGAGCTTGTTGGCAGGATCCTTTTGTGGCCAGTGTCTTAGTTTTGGTGGTTATTCTGTGGCACTACAGGAAAGGAGAACGGAAGAGGGGCTTGGGCTGTGGCTCTAACATGGAGCCCTGAGTTAGATTCTCAGCTCCTCACAAACTGGGATGATGCGGACAGTGGAGGAAGCGAGGTGAAGGTACATGCAAAGTCAGCTCTATTTTGTTTGCAGCATTTTCATGTAACCCTAAGATTACTTCAAGATAAACCAAATCATTAAGTCAGATGTGAGACACACAGTTGTAATCCCAGCACTTGGGAGTTCAAGGCTAGCCTGGAACTGGACACAGAGACCCTGTCTCAAAGCACCAAAACCAGCCTAAGTCGCTTGCCTAAAAATGGAAATCTAACTGAAACAGATGAACTAAGATTTTTGCAGTAAATTGGTGATATATCATCCAGAAAAACAAAGCCCTTCAAGCTACCTCCCAAAGATTACAACTCTTAATAATATATATTAAGGATAAATAAGACTGCAATAATAATAATAATAACAATAACAACAATAATGCTAAATGCAGTAGCATACTCCTATAAGCCTAGCACTGGGGAGGGTGAGGCAGGAGGATTTCAAACCTGAGGTCAGCCTTAGTTTCATAGTCTGTCTCAAAAGAAAAGGTAGGAAGGAAGGAGGGAGGAGTAGTAAAAAAAAAAAAAAAACAACAACAACAACAAACAAAAAAATATTATTGTTGCCAGGCAAGGTGGCTCACACCTTTGATCCTAACAGTTGGGGAGGCAGAGGCAGGTGAGTTGGAGGGCAGCCTGGGCTATAGTCTCCCCCAATATAATAATAACGTAACATAACATAACATAACATAACATAACATAACATAACATAACATAACATAACATAACATAACATAACAATATATGATTAATGCTGATAGTCCCAAAGTTGATGCTGATGTTTGTCACATTTTTTTTTCCTATCACGAAATGTATCCCCAAGTATGACCAGCAGAGGAAAGCTCTCTCTCTCTCAGATTAAGAAAGAGGAATGCATAGGGGACGGATGACACAAGCATCAGAAGGAATGTAACCAAACTGGGAAAGAGAATCAAACGCTTTCTGTTCAGGCCACTGTTCTAAGAGTTTAGACAATAATTTAAAAAATTGATATTAAAACGTGAATCAGAAAAATTCTGACCTCTAAAGAGCTCTAGAAACAAAAGCTAACTAAGCAGGAGAAAGGGACTCCACTGATTCGGAAAGACACGTACTTTAGAGCAAGAGTAAAATGGCAGACCACCAGAGGTGGCCGTAGAGACATTTCAAAAGCGAAATGCACCAATGCAAACATGTAATCCTGGTGCTCAGGAAAGCCCTAGGCAGGAGGACTGAATTCAAGAGCAGCCTGGTGACAGTGACAGAGACAGTCTCTTGAAAAACACACAAAAAAGAACAAAGGGTGCATGGAATGAGCAACGTAGGGAATGCTGAGTGTGAGAACTGAGGATGGGACATCATCCTCCAGGCTTGCTCCTGAAAACTTACAGCACTCTCAACAGATCATGCAAGAGAGATCTTAGAGACTCTAAACAGAAATTTCCTGGGCTTGCTGTTCAGTCTGCTTCCTCCTTCTTGGGTCCAATGGTTTGATTTGGTCGGTTTTTCCTCTGTGGCCAAGGGGCGGAAGGGCCCAGGGATCAGACCCAAAGATAGGACCCACACCTCTGGAGGCAGGCAGTAAGGCACCTGGGCTCTCCGGAGTCTGTCCTACCCAGATCAAGCTTTACCTTTATTGAGGACTGTGAGAGGCTTCCGGCTGCTGGGGTCCAGGCTGCTGGGAGCTATTGAAAACCTTGGTGGGATGGTGAGGCAGGTGATGGGGAGACGGGCAGGGATGTAGCCAGAAGTGAAGAACTCGTCATTGAGCAACTCGTGAATGGTAGGACGGGCAGTGGGGTCTGTCTGAAGCATCTTCTGGATGAGGGAGGCAGCCACTGGGTTGATGTGCTGGAGTGGAGAGGCAGAGCCTAAGTGAGATGAGATAGGGACCCCAGCCAGCATGCGGCTGCTCCAGTCTCAAAGGTACCACGACTCATGGCCAGAAGTTCCACCAGGCCCTCCACCCTCAGCTTTAGAAAGGATCATTTCCTACCGCTTGGCACTCAAGATTAACCTGGGATAACTTTCCCTTGCAAAGGACATTTAATTATCTACTAGAGGAACCTCCAGGTCCCAAAACCTGTATTTAAATCCTAGCTCTACCCCTGATTTCAGCTATGACAAATAACCGGGGCTTTCTAGGGCCTACCAAGGAGAGAAGGTTCCGCACCTAGAAGCCCACCAGTGGGATACCTGGTTTATGAGATAAAACCTAGCATGTCTGTCACAGCGTTAACTCTATGCTTACATGACAAGAATGTATTCCTGTACAGTAACTCATTTGGCCCTCACAAAAACACCTCAAGGTCTCTCTCTTCCCCTTCCTTTGTATAATTAGAATAGAGACAGGATCTCACTATGTAGCTGAGGCTGGCTTGGAACTTGCAATCCTCCTGCCTCAGCCTTCCAAATGCTAGGACTACAGGTGTACACATATCCACTGTTAGGCCTCCCTCCCTCAGAGGAGGGAGTCTCCTGTCTGAGAATACACATGGCCTCAGTGATAAAACCAGGACCTATACCACAGCAGTCCAGCTTGCTCAAGCAAGCCCATGCTGTCTGCAGTGAGCAGATCTGTGATAGTATCTACTCTACAAATAAGGTGAGGACACCAATTTGAAAGTGGCCATGTGTCCCATGTCCCCAGAAATGGGTTATCCCTTCAAATGGATTCATGCCATTTGGTTGTGAAAATGGCTGTCATCTTGTCATTGGGAAGCCCAGTTCATGAGAGTCAGGCCATCTCCTCTGTTAAGCACAGCTTAGCTGGATAGATAGGCTCTATGACCCAAGCTTAAGCGCGTCTGCCCCTCTTCTTTTCTCCCTGTGCTTTACATCCTTTAAGGAAGATCCTAAAGACACAAGCTGGACGTGGGTCTCAGTTGGTAGTGTTTGCCTACAAGTGCAAAGCCAGCTTCCAGAATGTCATAATGTCAACATGGTGGAGCATGCCTATAATCTCAGCACTTGGGAGATAGAGGCAAGAATCTGGAGTGCGAACTCAATGTGCAGTGAGTTCAAGGCCAGCCTTCAGACAGACCGTGGCTCTACTAGAGGTAGGACTGACTCATCTCTGTTCTGGGGATATAGCTGGGCTCAGCTTTTGGCTGAAACATAAACTAAGACAATTAAGTGTTGTCGTCACCTTGGGAATACTGTATTCATTTTTCTTGATCCGGAGGTAAGTCTCTTTTAGGCATGAGGTCTCAAATGGAGGCTTGCCCACTAGCAAGGTGTACCTGGAAGCACAAGGAAAGATTTTGCTCAAACTCCCAGCAAAGTCCAAATGCAGAAGGCATTGTCTCAGGAGTGGAGGAAGGGAGTTGTGCTGGATTGACGGCGGGGATGGGGATGATCTCCCAGTCTGCCCAGCTCCACAGCAACCAATGGCCAGGACAAGCCCTCAGAAGAATACAGGTGACAACACCAAGGGCCCAGGGACGACCCAGCTCTGGCCTGCAGTGACAGAGGGCTCTCTAAGGGCCCCAGAGGCCACTACTGTCCCCCGCAGGCCACTGTGCTGGGGCTTCTGCCTACCACCAGCCTTCCTGCTGGCCTAATTCCCTCATTCGTGCTTCCCAAGCTTTACTGAAAGACAGCCAGGGACAGTCTGAGATTCTGCAGGCCTAACAAGCCTTCAGGTGTTGACGATTTGGGTCTGTGCAAGCTTTTAACAAGCAACAAGGGGCAGGAGGGAGGAGTGAAGCAAGAGAAAGGCAGTAGTCTTTCCCTGGACCCATAAGTCCAAGCTGCAGGAATGCTACTGCCTACACCAATTGATGGAACTAGGGCTTCATTTGAGGCAGCCTCTCTTCTAAATCAGCCATCCTACATGGCAGAAGGACCCACAGGGTAAGGTCAACTGGGTGAAATGCCTCAGAAAGCCCTGCTGAGGCCCGACAGCGCCATTCCCAACTTACATGATGCACCCGATGGACCACACATCCACCTCAAAACTATGTCCCTTCTTGCTCAGCACCTCAGGAGCTATGTAGTTGGGAGTACCGCACAAGGTCTTCTTTCGTTCCCCTTCATACTCCACTTTGGTTGCCAGCCCAAAATCCCCTGAGATGAAGGGAAGAAGAGAGTTCTCAGCTGTTTGCCCTGGGCCATCTGTGGTTGTAGGCAGCTGCCTCAGGCCTGACCACTGGGCACTGGTGCCCTGAGACCCCAGAGCCTCCAGTCCCTGAAGGCTCCACTCTCTGGCTAGCCTCCCACTGCCCTTTACTTTAGATAGCAGGGTTAGGGCGGTAAGATGGCTCGGCAGGTGCTTGCCTCCAAGACAGATAACCTGAGTCGATCCTGGGACCCATGCAGTGGAAGGAGAGAACTGAGTCCTGAAAGTTACCCTCTGTTCCCATTCCTCACATGCATGTATCAGATTTACAACACACAGGATAGCAGAATTGGATGTACTGGTGAATCAAGTAAATAATCCTCCTGACTGTCGCTGGGCAAGTGTGAGAAAAAGTGACAAGGGTATGGGGACTGGCAAATCAGAGTTGGAAGGGACAGGTGCTTTTCAGCTCAGTAAAGAGACAGCTGAGGGAATGCTGCTTGCCTCGCTCCACAGCATATGTGTGGACCTCCAGTTTAAAAAGGAAATTTGCTGAGGGCCTGGCTCAGCCATAGGGGACAAGGCAGTATTTGGGGAGGCACCCTCAAGTTCAAAACTGCTGTGTTAAGGCCTCTAAAGGCAAGACACGGGACTATGGCCCCCACTTCTCCTTTCTAGACTAGAGGGCTTCCCAGAGGGGAGCACCTCCACTTGCCATTCGCCCTCTGTCTCTCTGGCTCCCATTCTCCCAGCTTTCCCCTCCTTGCCACCTCTTGCATTGGAACCAGGCACCCCCGCCCCCAGCCCCAACACCTCACCTATTTTCACCTCCAGATCCTCGTTCAGGAAGAGGTTGCCCAGCTTGAGGTCCCTGTGAATGACCTGATTGCGGTGCAGGTACTGGCAGCCCAGGACTATCTGGCGCAGGTAGTAGCGGGCCTCGGGCTCTGTCAGCGCTTTTCTCCTCTTGTGCAGCTCCAGCAGGGACTGAGCATTCGGAAGGAAGAGATTACTGAAGGCCAAGGCGAAGGGTGGCCAGCTGGATGTGGCTAGGACTAGGTGCTCGGGAGCTAAGACAGTTCCTGATAATTCTGCCCATACTGTTTTATTCACAGGCCCCTCTCCGGGTTAGCTCATGCCCTTAGCCAGAATCTTCTCTCAACCCCACTCTCGATCCTCTATCCCGGGGCTTCCTCCCGGGAGGTAAACGACCCCCCTTTATCAGAAAGCTCTGAGATCTGACTCCAAACAGCCGCCCCCCACCCCCGCCCCAGACCTTGCCCCACTCCGGAAGTTCGAGGTCCGTGGCACCCCCTAGCCTGAGACCCTTCGTTAGTCACTTTAAGCATCCATTTCCTGCACTTACACACAGGCTTGGGTCCAAGAGGCATCTTCCCTAATGGCAACAGGGCCCAGGCTCCGCTTCCTTTGAACCCCGGCCTTAACAGTTAGGAGTGCCAAGCACCCTCGATAGATGCCTCCATGGAAGCCTGAAACCCAAGCAACTCCTCTAGTCCACTCCAAGACCTCGATGCCCCTTTGCCAGCAAGTTCCGCGTGTGGGGGTCCCAGACCTGCGGCAGAAACACTCACCCTCCTGCGACAGAGCTCCAAAACCACAAACACAAAGTCGCTGTCCTCGAAAAAGCCGTGGAAGCCTACGACATGTTGGTGTGCGAGGCTGCGGTGAATGGAAATCTCCATAGACATCTTCTCCTTCTGGTGGGGCTTGAGCAGCAAAGACTTAGGCACAATCTTGCCTGCGAACACCTCTTTTGTGTCTGCATCGGAGATCTCGAAGCATTTGGCAAAGCCTCCTTTACCCAGAAAGCGGCCCCGTACATACTGCCGCCGGCTACGTGGGTCCACCAGGATCTCCGGAATCTCTTTGGCCAGCGGTGCGGCCACCGGGGCATCGGGAGCTGCATCTCCTGGGGCCCCGGCTTTCCCGAGGTCGGGTGGTGCTCGAGCCAGCTTCCCAACTTTTGCCGCTGCATTCATGATCTCGAAGTTATTCTACAGACCTGGCCGTGCCTGTGCAGACGATCCTGCTAGGCTCCGCTCCACCCCGAATTCAAACGCGGCGCTGGGAACGTTATAAGGGCCTGCGCGTTGCTGATTGGCCGCAGGGATTTAAAATACAAACCCGCCCAGCGCGCGGCACCATGGGAGTGCTCTATGGCGCAGCCGCCTTTAAACTCCGATCTTGCGGGCGAGAAACTTGATAGGCAGGAACTTCAGGACAGCGTGCACGTGAGATAGCCTGGGAAACTGGGAATGAGTGAATTGCGCGGAAATCCCCAGCGGAACAGGATTCGGTCCTGCTTTCTGCTCCTCGGCCAGGCCGTGATCATGTAATTCACCTGCACCTCCTCCAGGGACTTCTGTTAGGACCTAACTAACACCTTCCTCCACCCACCTGCCCTTCTCGAACTGAAACTCTCAGGCTTACGGGTAGCTTGAGAACCCACCGCCTCCCCGTCGACCGCCCTCTCCCTGGCTAGCCCAAATAAACCCAAACCTGAGCAAACTCGGCACGCCTGGCAGGCAGATGCACCTTCGCCGCGCGCGGACTGGATCCCTCTGTTGAACAGCTGCCCCAGTCCCTGAGTTGGAGCTCAAGCCTTCTCCTGAACAACCCAGGTGCCAACCGCATCTGCAGAACCTGGGAACTCCTTAGGAAGGCAAAGGAGGGGCGTGAGTTCAAGATGACAAGTTAGCCTAGATCAGTATGAGCTGTCCCCCACCCCCCATCCCCTGGGAAAGAAACTTCCCAGGTATGACCTGCTGGTCAAACAAGACCTTCAGGTGAGTCCTATACACTGTGAAATATAAGAAACACCATTTGTCTGTCTGGCCCCCGTGATTCAAGGTTGCCTAGCTGTGAGTTGTGTTGCCCAAAGCCCCAAAAAGAAAGGCCAAGTCTGGCCTGCAGATGTGTTTTGTTTAGTCTGCATTAAAATAATATTATTAATAATAATAAAAAAGGATTTACAACATGTAAAAAGAGTGGCCACACAGTGCAAGTATGGCTTTTTTTGGGGGGGGGGGGGTGTCAACTCTGGCCACTGTTCCTAGCCACTCCTTTGCCTGCTTGCCCTCTGGCTTTTGTGGGCACTTCCATTAGAAGCTGTGTTCCCGTGGCTCCCCCAGGAGGATCCCGTTGCTCTACTGAGCCAAAAATGGCAGCACCGCTGTCTTTCCCAGTGCCTGGGAACCCATCTTACTGAATGCTTGCTGAGTAAGAGCAAGCTTTATCTCCAAAAACCTCAAGTTCGCCAGGGTGGGTGCACTCCTTTCATCCCAGCACTGAGGAGGCAGTCAGGCAGAACTCTGAATTTTAGACTAGCAGCGTTAATACCATGGACAGACAGACATCGTGGCAACAGCATGGGGTGGGGATGGGGCAGGATGGGGCACCCTGGCGATGTAGATTCACTTCCTATGTGAAATGCCAGGGCGCCAGCAAGTCTGTCAGCTGGGGCCTCACAATCTCCCAGAAGGGTGCCTGTCCTGTCAGGGAGAGGAGGCCTGGGACAGAGGCTGGATTCTAACATAGCACTTTTACAAATCTAAGGCTTCCTACGTGAAAGCTGATCCCTCTACAACTGAACAGTATGGTTTTAAGTTGTGTGTGTGTGTGTGCATGTGATCACAGGCATTCACATGTAGATCAGAGGACCAGCTTGAGGACAGGTCCCCTCATTCCACCTTGTTTGAGGCAGGGTCTCGTGTTCACATCTGTTTACACCAACCATGCTTCTGTTCCCACCTCCGTCTCTTCTCGAAGGTGCTGGAAATAAAGAAGGTGCAGATGCTGTTGCAACTGGCTTTATGTGGGCTCTGGGGATTCCATTTCATAGCAGGTGTCTATCTATCTATCTATCTACCTATCTATCTATCTATCTATCTATCTATCTATCTATCTATCTATCTATCTAAGACAGTGTCTTGTTTGGCTGCCTAGATAGGTTTGGAGTTGGCAATCCTGCTTTAGCCACTATAATGCTGATATTACAGGGGTACGCCACCACTCTTGGCTTATTTGAACTTTTCATTGAAATGTCGTAAGTTTATAGAAAAAAATTGTCTGATTATCATTGCACACTCAGTGAATTCCTACTAGCTGGACACATACTGTAGAGTATCCAGACTGAAAAAGGAGACATTACCAACATACCAGAAGTCCCCTGGTGACTGCTTTTGGGTCCCAGGAACCACCTCTAATAAGAAGAGACTCTATATTCTAGTCACAGGACTGGACAGATGTCAGTTCTGGCCTTGGTGGTTTGTTACCATAAAAGGCCAAGTGGGGCAAGGTCATAGGACAGCAGGCCCAGCAGCTCTGGGTATCAGGTCAGCGCTCTGCCAACCGGCTACTTCCCCAGCCCCTTCACACCGGCCCTCTCTCGGCAACCTGGCTTGAATCTTTTATAGCAGAAGCCACTGTCGATCGGATACACCGCAAAAACATGAGCCCAGGGCTGCAGCAGCCATACAGAACACAAACGTGGTTGCCACATACCTTGCTGCCTTGGGTGTGCTCACTGGGACCCACATGCCTGCACAATAGAAGGAGAACTGACCCCCACAAGTTGTTCTCTGACTTCCACATGTACATCACCAAATAAACATGATAAAAAAAAATTTTTTTTTAAAATAGGGTCTTACTATATAGTCCTGTCTGGCCTGGAACTCAAGAGATCCATCTGCCTTTGCCTCCCAAGTCCTGGTATTAAAAGTTTGTGGAGGAGGTTGGGGATTAGCTCAGTGATAGAGCACTTGCCTAGCAAATGCAAGGCCCTGGGTTTGGTCCTCAGCTCTGGGGAAGAAAAAAAAAAAAAGTTTGTGGAGACCAACCTACACAGTTATGCTTGTGAGGGGGCCTAGATTTAGCCAGTTCAAATAAATACATAAAAGTGTATTATAGAAAGTTTCTGTGGTGACTCCTTTAGCTTGTCTAAGGGCCCCGGTGAACAATGGTCAGTGAAAAGAAGGTGATGTAAATGTCCTCCAGGACTGAGATACTGTCAGGATAGTCAGAGTCACATACAGAAGTCAAATCCTGGGAGCCCTCTGGAAAGAAAGGATTTACCACGTTAGGGTACCCTAAGCAGAACTTATGCTCAGCAGAGTCTAGACCAATGATTCTCAGCCTTCTTAATGCCTCAACCCTTTAGTATACAGTTTCTCAGGTTCTGGTGACCCTCAACCATAAAGTTATCTTCTCACTGCTTCATAACTGTAATTTTACTATTGTTATGAATCATAAATATCTGGTATGCAGGTTATCTGATATGCAACCCTGGTGGTTGAGAATTGCTGGTCTGGACAATGAAGGTCCCTAGCGTAGCTACTCATAAGGCCCCTGCCATGCTTCCTGTCTTGGGATCCTGGTAGCCCTGGATCCCACACTCCAGAAGGTCTCCTTGAGGATGGGGGTTGAGGACATTTTCAGTCACTGGTAATCTGCATGTCCATGCCTGGCAGCTTTTCTGCATAGGAGCATTGGAGATGGGTTCCATGTCTGACTCAAATACACAGAAAGGTGGCACTGGGAGTTTTCCTCCAGAAAGCAGGAAGCTTCTGGAAACAGTCATGGAAACAGAGATCGAAGCCCTGGCCGTTACTCCTCTAGTGTTACAGAATCACTGGGCCCCAATCAGCTAGCCCAGAATTTTAAAAATTACCTCTTAGCCTTTAGTCTTGAAGGAGATTCTATGTAAAAGACACAAAGTACTTTTTTGCAAATTAATATTTTTATGCAACGTGGCTAGAAAAATATGCTCAGGAACTGGTGCCAATACATTGCGGATTGAACTGCATCCCCCAATTCTCATGACAATATTTGGAGAAGGGCCTTGAAAACACTGCTTAAGTTAAAAAGAAGTTGTTGAGGCCAGTGAGATGCCTCAGCAGGTAAAGGTACTTGCCACTAAGCCTGGTGACCTAAGTTACAGACTCAAAGTCCACATGGTAGGTCCCCAGAGCTCACTCCTAAAAATTGTCCTTTGCTTCCACATTTGTGTTCACATACACGCACACACACACACACACACACACACACACACACACACACACACATAATTTTAAAAAAATACTAAGATGGTGGTGTTAGGGTAATCCCTAAACCAATAAAATTAATATCCTTAAAAAGGAAATTAGGGCCAGGTGTAATGGCATACACCTTTAATTTCAGTACTTGAAAGGCAGAGGCAGGCAGATCTCTGAGTTCAAGGCCAGCCTGCTCTACAAAACAAGTCCAGGACAGCCAGGGATACACAGAGAACCAAAAATAAAGAAAGAAAGAAATGAAAGAAGGAAGGAAGGAAGGAAAAAGGGAAGGAAAAAAAAAGAAGGACTGTACTTCAGAACTGGGACAAACAGCTCCAGGTTCTCCCAGCATTCCTTAGTCTCTATCTGCTTCAGGGCCTGGCTGGCATACACCCCCTCTACACTGAACTTTCCAGGGCAGGGACTTCCCCTTCTCCTTCACCATATAATCTGGATATCTTGGTACTCTTACTTTTTTTTTCTTTCTCTCTCTCTCTCTCTCTCTCTCTCTCTCTCTCTCTCCCACTTGCATGAAAGCCAAGAGCTACTTCCAATGAACCTACATTTACATACTTTAACTTGCCTTATATGAGAAGCAGTCCAACATCCTCATTCCTGCCTCACCATCCCTCTCTAGCTCCTCATTTTTTTTCAATTATAGAAAAGGTTCACAACCTATGCACTAGCCCACCCCAGGTTGCTTAGCAATCTGACATCATCACCTGCTGCCTACCAGATAAAGCAATCACCTCTCTCTTCTCTTGCATTCTCTGCCTGTCCCTCTGTCTACCTCCCCCATTTTGCTCTCCAATACTGTGTCTCTCATGGCTCACTCAGACTATATAAATCCCCTGCCCTTTCTGCAATAAACTTCCTTGTACCACACCTGTTGTGCAGTGTCTAATATTTATATCATAACAAGAAGGAAGGAAGGAAAGAAGGAAATAAAGAAGGAAGGAAGGACATTAGGACACAGACACACAGAGGAACAAGGGAGGACACAGGAAGGAGGCAGCTGTCCTGGAAGCACTTTGCTCTTTGCTCCTGGATGTCCAGCCTCCAGAGCCAGGGGAACGCTATTTTCTGTTGTTTAAGCCCCAGCTTGTGATGCTTTGTTATAAGCCAAGCAAACTGATAAAAGATGAAATCTTGAATTTTCTAAAATTTAAAGGTGGCTTCCCTTACCTTCTGCTTCCTTTGTCCTGATCATCTGTTCATTGAGCAGCCTAGAAAAGACCAGTCCTGAAGGACAGCTCTATTTGAACCAATGGCCTATCTTCCTGGGAGAAAAGTGGGGAAGAGGAACATCAGTCTACCGAGGAAAGCTGAAGAAAAATGAGCCCACTGCAGGAAGACAGTCTCTAAAGAAGGGGCACGGTGTGCTCTGTCCAAAGTACGTGGAGGGATAACAGTCTCTGGGGTGGGTCCTCCTCACACCTTGCAGCTTCCACAGGGGTAACAAGTGAGAGACGCATTAACCTCTGCATTAAATCCAGTGCTGATTGACAGCTTGATCTCAGAGGGTGTTGGGGGATGGTCTGGTGCTGCTAATGTATTTAATTGTTAATTACTGGCCCCTCAAGATCTGGTTACACAGTCTCATGCACACCAAGTGATGCTATAGAACTTCACTCCCCAATTATCCCTGATTGGTTAATAAAAATGCTGCAGCCAGTGACTGGGCAAAAAAGAGGTAGGTGGGCCTTAGGTTCCTGGACTTGGGTTCTGAGAGGGACCGTAAGGCTGGAGGAGAAGGAAAGGAAACCAGAGAAAAGGAAGTCACCATGGGGCAGTATGGACCATGAGTTTGTGACTATGAGGACAGACTGATGGAACAGAAACAGCCCAGACAGAAATGGCTAAGGCAAGTAACATGGGGTGTGTAGCTGGGAAATAGCAAAATAACTTAGAGAGTTGATATCTGTCCAGCTCTAGGCTATAACATAAATTATAGCCTCTCTGTGTCAATTATTTGGGAACTAGCCAGGGTAGAGAAGCCTTCTAGAGTCTCTGCAACAAGAGTGTCCCTTCAAAGACCAAGCCTGGAGGCATTTATCCAAATGAGATGGATAGCAAGTATCTAGGATGCTTTTATGGGTATGAACTGTACAGAGGGGTCCTGAACCTCCTGGGTCCAGAGTCAAGGAGGGCTTGCTCACCAATCTATCTGTCTCCTCCCAGTTGAGCCTGGCTTGGACTGAGACTGACCAGCTCATAGCAGACAGTAATGAATGCAGGATTCAAGACAACCATCTTTGCTGCAGCACCATATTCCACTCCAAAGGACAGGCAATGCTTACTTTGTGTCTGGCCTGTCTCCACAATCCAAATGCAAACATTCCAATGTATGCACCTTCGGACTAGAAAATGAACAGCTTTCAGGACTCAGATGTATGAATTCCACAAGTGCCCATTAGTGACTTAACCTCATTACCCAAATGTGCATTTTAAGCCAGAGACAGTCCTTCACCTCTTTCTGTGGTTTCTCTTTCCAGAGATTCCAGTCAGAGTATAAGATACAGAGACTTGCTCCAGCTTCCATACCCCCCCCCCAAAAAAAAAACCTAAGTTCCAATCAGCTGGCCAAGGGCAAACAACAACAACAACAACAAAAATTGTATCTACCAGTTGCTAAGGATCAAAACCAGGACCTTGGGTGTGCTAGCAAAACACTGTGCCATCACCCTTGTAAATTTTGTAGCCTTTTTTCAGACTGGGATGAATA